CCTACAATCTACATTAGCATCATCAACTTATTTCTCGGCCCAATGACATATTTTTCCTTTTATTCTAAGCCCAAATAAATTTTATTTCATTTATTAACCTGGCTCCAACTCTAACTCAATAAGGTAGCCCATATTCGTTAAAACTTAGGTCCAATTGGTATAAAGTAATAGTTTTGCCCGACAAAAATTAAACCAGACCTACACTGGACTAAGCCCACAAATTGATCACATTCCCCGATTTAAATTAGCAAAACTCATAATAGAACTCAAGTCCACAAACAAATTTTTTTTTTTTTTACAGAAGGTATTTTGAAGATTGAATTACATTAAGCTGTCTAACTTGTTATAAATTATTAGATAAGGGACAGTTTCAGATATTAAGAATTATCAATTTTTTTATTTGATACATCTTATTTTACAGTTTTGATATCAAATCACAAAATAGGGTATATTCTTTATTTTAAGATAAGTATTTACTTCCTTTGTCTATTTTTAATAAATCTAGTTTTTTAAATAAAATAGATAATAATTTATTAATAAAATTTTATATTTATTCTTATTAAATATCGCTTAAATAAGATTTTTTTTATTTAATATATATTATAAATATTATTTAAAACAAGCATAAAATAAAAATAAACATATTAAATGACGTTTTAAAAAAAATTGATAATTAAATTTAAATATTTTAAATAAAAAAGCTAAATTTACTAAAATTAAACAAATAAAGTAAAATTTTGATTAAATTAATTGCATAAGTACTTCTCCAAATCTCATCATGGATAAAGCTTGATCTTAAAAAATAACAGATTTATAGTTTATTAAAATTATTTATATTTAAATAACATTGAATAGATTTAAATACATATTATTATTTTGGTTTAAATGGCTTCTTAACCATATAAATTCAACTCAAATGGAATACACCAAACAACTTTGACATCCGATATGCAAGCTACTCTTGGGTTACCCTTAAAAACTTTGATATTTGATAAAAAGGTTGACAGAACCCTATGTTAAACCCCAAATTTATCCTAAATTTTCAATTAAGTTTTAAAAATTTTAGGAAAATAAATAAGTCCCTAAATGTGACAATTTAGCCAATCTAATTCTTTTTTCTTTTTTTTTATGTTAGATTTAACTCATTTGTGTGTTTTACTTACATAAATAAAATCAATACTTATCATGTAAGTGATAATATATCAATATTTTATTCATACATATGATGCACAAACATATATTAAATTCATAGTAAAGAAAATAGGTTAAATTACTCAAATCACTAAATTCAAAAGTTTGTTTACTTCAATAGC